TTCCCCTTCCCCTTCCGAGCGTCTGCGGAGCAGCCGCTCCTTCTCTCACCTCCGCTGGCAACAACAAAGCTGTGTGTGTGGAGAGAGGCTGAAGCGGAAGACAGATGGTTCTTTCATTACCAGGCTGCTTTGGGTTCACTGAGCTCGAGATGGTAGTTTTTTCGAGAAGACTGAGCTGGACCCCGTGGATAAGCCGTCATGAACTACACTAATACGTGCCGCCGGTTTTGCTGTCGGGTTTTTTGTTTTGCTTTTGGGTTTAATTTCATCATCCTGTCAAGCACTTTGGGAGGGGTCGGGGGTGAGTTTACGAAAAGAGTGTTTTCATTAAGATGTTCTGAATGGATTACATTTGTAATGGATTAAATCTTTGTGTTTCGTTTCAGTACCGGCAAGTGGAGCGGCAGGGCAGCCTTTGCTTGGATGATTCCTTGTGGGGCGACCACTGAGCCGCCAGCCTCCTGAAGCTCAGGCAGCCTTACCGCTTTCCTTACCTTCAGGGACAGAAGGCCTTTGGGAAACGGAGTCCTTAACGGTGCAGGTAGGCCCAGGCCACACTGCCTTCGGCTCACACTTTTTCTTTATTTTATTCTTAAATATATCTTTATTGAGTTCAGAGAGAGGAAGGGAGAGGGGGAGAGAGAGAGAAACATCAGTGATGAGTCACTGATCAGCTGCCTCCTGCACGCCCCCGACGGGGATCGAACCCTCAACCAGGGCCTGTGCCCTGACCCGGAATTGAACCGCCATCTCCTGGATCCCGGGCTGATGCTCAGCGGCTGAGCCACGCTCGGCCGGGCTCGGCTCAGACTTTTTAGATGGAAGTTTGAACACGTGAAATGTTCTCATACACTGAATGATACAATGTTCCCATTTCTAGCAGGTGACTTTAAAATACCCTCTCCTTTGCATAGGGCTGCCTGTTAGTGGATCGCTTATGAATTTAATATGAAGCCAGAGGGCCTCTGAGACTATTCCTATAACCAGTGACTCTTCAGCTCAAGGTTGAGCTAGGGAAGTTTTAAATATTACTTTTATTCTCCATATGAATGGGTGTTTCTTGGGAATGTTTTAAACCAATCTGGAATTTAAAGAGTAAGAAAACTCTGGAGTTGAAACTAGAACATTACATGAATCACAACTATTGTAGAAATTGCTATTAACAAGCTGTGCTACTTTGGGCAAGATGCTTGCCCTTTCTGTGCCTTGTTTTCTCTATAGAATGAACTTGAATTCCCTCTGTCTTTAAATGCTACATCTAATAATAATTTTATTAAAGTACTTTAATATAATTTTTAGGCATAGTCTCCTTAGTATTCATGGAATCTCAATTTATAAATTTATTCTGAGAAAGCCCTGGAGCTCAAATGTCCACCAGGAATTAGCTCGATGTTTTTACCCATGAATCCATAGTCTTTCTGGTTGTTAAGTTTCATCAGAGAACAATTTTTCTGCTAGCAGATTTGTTTCATTACTGTTTTATTTGGAAATCGTTTTGTGGAGGGTGCTTACTGGCTGAGAACTGGATGCTTCAGTGGTCCTGGCTAATGTGGACATTTATAATGGTTTGGAGATTTAGTCCTTGAGATTCTCTTGGTCTCTTAGTTATTCAAACCAAAATTGTTCATGAGTTGTTTCAAAGCCCTTCCCCAGTGTCCTGAGCCCCTGGGCTTGCAGAACTCCTGAGACTGAACCTAGGTCGGAGGTAGGGCTGGGTCATCAGGTCACTGGAGGCAGGCGGGGTCACTGCCGGAAGCATCTTAATTTAGTGGACTTGGTGCTGTGATCATCTCGGAGATGTGTGGAAATGCCTTTCCTGTCCATCTTTACATCTCTTGGCATTAGAAACATGGAGATAATTTGAATCTTTATAGCATAATAAAGGTTGAAGAGCACGGATTCTGGTGTGTGCCTGAAATCCCAGTCACTGCTACTGGGGTGCTCATTATAGCTTCTCTGGGCTTTAGTGTCTTCATCCGTTTGATAGGGACGACAGTGCCTTTCCTCAAGGGTGGCTTTGAGGATTAAAATAATTACACACCTAAGGCATCTCACACAGCTCTGCCCCGCAGCGCTCAGAACATTTGGACTCTTTATTGCCACGCGTGGCAGTGACCACTCTTCTGCCCCCACTCTCTAATGAAGACTCAGCTCTTACCTTGTTGGACGTGGCTGACTGGCCCTGGGGTTTGCTCCTGAGCCTAGAACATGGTATTTGAACCCTGCTCAACATTATAGCGGGTCCAAATCAGAGTGAAAGATGAAACCTGTTCTCCAACTCAGATTATTTGTAGAGACCTTGATTTTCTCGCTTCAGTTTGATATGCTGATTACAAATCTGGGTTATTATGCAGATTCAGAGCAGTTTTGAAGCACTTTTAAGATTCAGAGCAGCATGAAAAAAGGTGTGGCTCCTGCAGCCAGAAACAGGGTCTGATTCTAAGACGAGTTTTGCGGGTGAATGACTGCTCTCTCGGATGCCTTCCGTCTTATATTTAGAAGATGAGGGAGGCTTCCTATCAGAGACTCCGAGCTGTTGAAATGAACGTGCAGACATACCTGCGGGCACTGCCGCGGAAGCCTAGTTTCTTGGAGGCTGTTACTCACACAATACGGTGAGTCCTGCAGGACCTTTCCCAGGATGCTGTGAAGTTAGTTTTTTAGGGAGGGTTTGGTGTATGGACAGCTAATGCTTCATTTGTTTTAAAAGAATTAAAACAAGATTAGGAGCATCCTTACCATGTGCCAGACATTTACCTAAGTGCTTTATGTTTACTACTTACCATAGCTCTATTAGGTAGCACCATCACTTCCATTTTACAGGAGGGGAAACTGAGGTGTAAAGAGGTTAAGCAACTCCCAGGGCCCAACAACGAGTCAGAGGTAGATCTGCGACCCAAACCCAGGAGGGCTGATAGCCAGGTGGGCAACCTTAACCCCTAATTACGCTGCTACCCACAAAGAATAAATTAAATAAAGAAGGAAAAATTGAAATTGAATGAGAAGAAGATAGAAGTCTTCAGTGCCAGGCTAAGGGACTTTGTTTGTTTGGCAGGTAGCGAAAGCCACGTAAGCGTTTCCTGTGGGGCAGGTGACAAAGCGAGGGCTGGGCTTTGAAGGTTTTACGGCAGGTGCAGCGCGTGGGCTGGTTTAACGGGAAGAGAGATTAGAGATTATTGCTAGCCGCTGAGAAGCCACGAGAACGTGGGTTTGGGAAACAGGATTAAGATAAAAGCTCGAGAACACGTGTGTTTGTGCTGCGTTGGAAGAGACGACCTGGGGGCAGAGGCAGAGCCCGTGGAGGGCTGAGGCCCAGGCCCCGGCAGCGCCTCGCAGGGCAGGGGCTTCAGGAACTGAAACCCCCGAGCTCAGAGAGGCCTGGGGCGGAACAGAGATGAGGCCGGCATCGCCCTGGAGCAGAATCCACGTAAAAATGTTCTCCTGTGCGGCTGACGCTGCTGCTTTTCGCCAGGTAACCTTTGGCAGGGTTTTCAGTTCTTCTAAACCGTGGCTGTTTCTTGTGGAATATGAAGACTTAAGACCTTGCTCCGTTTCAATGGCCTGAGCCCTGCAGTCTTTCCAGCTCTGAGATCTGTCGTTCTTGGGTCCAGATCGTGAATGCGGTCATTGGAAATGTTGGTGTCGAGGTGTGGCTGGTGACTCGGCTGGCACTTCTAGGCACATCGGCGGCCGTGCCGGAGGAAGCGTGAGTCCTGCAGGCCCAGGCTGAGGAGCCGCGTGCAGGGGTGGGCAGAAGGGGCTTCCCGCTGAAGCACAGTTTATTCTTCTATCCTTGTTTATTAATTTGTATTTTTCCATACTAGCAACTGTAAACCTAATTTTGCCCACCCCTCTGTTTCTTCTCAAAAATACCGGCAGTGTCATAGCGACACTGGTGGTAAGTGGGAGGGTGAGACTGAAAACTATAGAAACTAAGATGAGTGGGGCGTTTACAGAGGAGCCACAGACGTTCCCTAGAATGGTGAAAGTTTTCTCCAAGCTACTTTCAGAAGGTCTCACTTGCTTCTTCGGAGAAAATTCTGTTGATTGGAAATTTTAAAAGATCAAGCCCCAAAGGACTTTGAAGGGAGAGAGCATGGCCTACAGAATGAGCTCCCAGTTCCTCTCAAAAACTATTTTTGGTGAAGCCCTGATCCTCTCAGTGGCCCATCATTCCCTCCCCAGTGGAGCTGGATCACCTGGGGATCTTGTTAACATGAAATTTGACTCAGTGGATGGAGGGATGGAGCTGAGATTCGGCCTGTCTGTCAAGATCCCAGGTGATGCCAATGTTGCTGGTCAGTGGGCCGCTCTGAGTAGCAGAGTCTTAAAGTATTTAGCTTTTTTCATCACAGATGATCACACTTAGTCTGAAACAACGTAACTTGGCTCCCTCACCAGACTGAACTCTGTTCCCCACATCCTGAAGTAGATGAGCGCACATGCATATGAGTGCCAGATGTTAATAGATCAATCATTTCTTACCTCTGTCAGTGGGTGTGGCTTCCAGTGGTGTCAATAATTTGAATTGTTGGGTAGGGGCTTTTTCCTTTCAACTGAGAGGCTGAAGCAAATCTGTTGATCAAAAATAGGCATCAGAATGCAATATAACATTTTCACATAAATTCAAGCATACATTTACTATATGACCCATGAAGACATACATATGCCCACCCAAAGACTTGTACTTAAATGTGTAGCTTTATTTACAGTAACCAAAAACTGAAAAGGAACCAAATATCTATTAGCTGGTGAATTGATAAACAAGTTATGGTATAGCCACACAATGGAATATTACTTAGCAATAGAAAGGAGTGAATTCCTGGTAGAAGCAACAACTTGGACATTGTTTCAAAAGCATTATACTAATTGAAACAAGCCAGAAATATAGTTGAATCTAAAGGGAGAAATCTCAAAAACAGGAACTTCAGTTTGTTTATTTTTAGCATGCACAATAGCAAGCTATCAGTTGAATGATTTGGGAGTGTCCCACTGTGCTACTGAAAAACAAATTCTGCCAAAACATCATTCTTTGCAGTGAGCACATACAATTTTCAGGGGAAGATTCAGTTATCTGGTTTGGCAGTTACAGCTTAGCTTTAGGTGAAAATCTCTGTCTACACATGCTAAGGGTGAAGTCTAACAAAAGCACTGGCTTTCGTCAGAAACTGAAAGAGAAAGTGTGTTTGTGTGTAGACACTAGCTGCATGCCACTGTATTAGCAGGACTGGTGAGGAGAAACGTCAGCTGATTATTTATACGTGTTCTTCTGCCTGCAGGAGGAAAACAAACGATGCATTTAAAATATGGTTTTATTGATTTTAGAGAGAGGGAAGGAGGGAGGGCAAGAGAAACATCGATCGGCTGCCTCCTGCATGCCCCCTACCGGGGATTGAGCCCAAAACCCAGGCATGTGCCCTGATCTGGAACCTAACTGGTGACCTTTTGGTGCATGGGAAGGCGCCCAACCACTGAGCCACACTGGCCAGGGCAAACCGATGATGTGTTTAGGAATCAGTCAAAATGTGTACAGTCGGTCTA